CTCACAAAAAACGCAACCTAGATGTGTTTGTATAAGGATAAAGTTCACGAACAGTGCACAAACATTGTATAGCCCTTAGCGCCATCATAAGTGAGACGTGCTTATATTTTTTCTCGCGAAACGCACGGATCTAACAAGAAAAAACCCAAGTTAATCGCAGAAATTGAGTTGAAAGAGTGCTCGTTTTCCGACTGAATTCGCTACGCTTAACACAAATTATGTATCATTAAACGCTCCCGTGAATATACCGAGATGTTTCGATAGCTGGAATCAATAATTTATAAAAAAAAATAATTATTTCCGTCTCGTAAACTTTTATTATTTCGCGTAACGCACAAATAAAAGATTATTATAATAAAAATCTAATTTTCAGATTTATTTATTTCAGTAACATTTTCAGATTTATTTTTCAGATTTATTTATTTCAGTAACAAAAACAACAGTTTTAAAATAATAATTTTATTAAATAATATATTAGAAGAGCATTAATAATTTTATTATCCGTCACGTATATATAACTTGAAAAAGGAGGAAAACCGACGGAGGCATACAGATGACAGGAGGGTGTGGTGTTATCGCGCTATTTTAAACGAAACAGGACGTTGCACTAACGTTTGACCGGATGATAGTCAGCTGACGTGTCTATATACGCGCCGATCAGTGCCATCGACGCTTTGTTTAAATTCCTTTGGGTGTTTCGGTTAATAATTATTATGCATACCACACGAACGCCATATACGTACGTACACACGTCTGATTTAATCAGTATTTAATTATCGCCGAGTAAGCTGAAGCTTTGAAACTGCTAACGTAGCATGTAAGCATATAATATGTAAGCATATGCTCAACACGTAATGACGTGAAGTAAACTGTACGATATTCACACAACCATGCGATCTTGATGACGCGGGTATGTTGAATTAGCTTGTCGTAAAAATTTTGCCTCTCACGAACGGCGCTACGCACACTATTGCTGAACTCATAAAACCGGGTTTGTCGTAATTAACTATGTCGCTGAAATCAGATAATTATGTCTCTCTGAATATCGATCCACTCCTCCGATTTTAATATCACGTCTATATTTACGTAAATAAATTTGCATAATAACGCTAATTTTAAGTATTCTATTTGCACTATGAAATAAAATGCTTAATAAGTGAAATTGATCGCGTAAAAATGCAGTACAACAAAAAGCAATTTACATTTAACCTTTGCTGCGTCATATAACTTTAACAAACATACATTCGAACTTTGAAACCTTTATTATTTGTATAATCTTTAGAATCGATTTAGGTCAAGAGATTCTTTCTTGCTTATCAAACTCTTTAGAGACAGGACTGCACATTTTCCACGTTGCACATAGCAAGGTTATCGTTGCATAATCTATTATATCACAAAAACGACAAATTTATTCTTCAAAAATATTACTCAACAAAAAGAGATAACGCTATCAGTCGGTTTTAACATGAGTTGTGTTTTATTGTGCCTCATGTCAACCGTTATCAACCGTTAACGCAGAAAGCTCAAAACCTGTTTTTCTTGTGCTTAACACTGAATATCGCGTAAATAACGCGCATTCTTCTAAGGATCTTCATGGAACCTGATGAAGATTGCACCACCTTGACGTGTGGCGTTCCAGTTTCTAGTTCGTTGAGCGATCGCCTTTTTCAAACGCCGATATATTCGGTATTCATGGATGCACCGTTACATCAATTAGATAGAGCAAATGCAATTTTTGCGAATAAAATATGAAAATTGTGCGCGCGCGCGATTCAGGGGACACTCGCGTCTTTGTGTACATATTCCTTTGTTCGTATGTTGTTCGGAAGGATATCATTGCGCCCATTAGATAAGGCAGATATCATTTTGTAAATGAATATTAAATAACGCGTATCGTATCCGGGAGACGCCAACCACTAGATTCCAATTTATCCAATTCTACTGTTCGTCGATATGCAAACAGACTTTACCATGTTTTTATTGTAATTTTCTATCATTTTAAATCAATTTATTTATGTATTATAGATAAAACGTAAAAAATTGAATATAATTAATTTATGATTAACTTCCATTAAATTAAAAATTATTTAAGATAATTTTGCATCAATAAAATTTTCAATTATTGCAGTTAACTTAATTATACAAAATATCTACACATTGAAAATTAATTTTCAACACAAGCCTACTACATCTTTTTTCTCTTTACGTAACTGATAAATTTGCCGAAATTTTTCCATTTTCAATATTCTCAAAAATTCAAAATAAATCGGTATTAATGCTAATGAAGTTCAAAACGATAACGCATCGAGTGTCGATAAAGCACATTTTTAATTAAAGACAAAGCAAAAAAAAATAATCAATAAGTATCGAGCAATATCCCAAGATTTTATCAGAAAATTATTGACGGAGCAGTTCTCGTCATTACTTTGCGAGGGCAATCTGGTAGAAACAAAGATTCAAAATCAGAATAGATCTCGCAATGTAAATATATTGGTTGTCCGTCTCATAAATTAAACGTTTTATTCCGATTATCTATTCTGATAATTTTCTGGCGGAAAATAAAACGCTTCAATTGCCGGTAATGTACATATTGAAATGTAGATACTAAGCTCGCGTGAGACGTGACTATTAGACACGTAACAATCTTGTTCTAGACGTGTATGAGAAAAACACCAGATTGAATGTTTAGAATCTTTGATTATCGTCAAGAATAATCGCTACCCTGCTCGCGTAGATTCCCACTTCCGGATTATCTAATACGAGAAAGTAATGTTTCTCAGGGACAAATCGATACCTAATTTCTCTCATTTTCCGCTAAATGTCGGATGTCTTCGGTTTCACTTAGCTTCACCGCGATGCGCTTTACGCGAAGACGGTAATCAAGTATGTAGCGCTCGAGACTCCACATCGAATGTTTTAGAAAGCGCCGTGCAATTTCGGAGACGTTTTACTTTGCGCACAGCCTGCACAATAATACGCCTATTAATTTCATATCATGGTTATCGCAGACGAATACAACGTTTATTGATATGCGATCAAACGATCTGATCTCACAATCAGCGGCGCACAAACTTTTGCGTATTAAAAAATACTGCTTATTGTTTTTGCAGATAACGTGAGTATCGATCATTAACATAAAACCAAGATTAATTTCTGCAATCATTTGTACAGATAAAATCAAGTTTTTGTTTGACCTTTTCCATGAAAATGATGGATTTCATAAACTTTGGAAGATATATCTATGATAATTTCACTTACAATATAATCGTTATGCGGAATTAAGTGAAAAAAAAGTTATATGTACTATTATTTCCAAAATGAACTAAAATCAAATTATGATTGTATCGATGATAATTTAATATAGATATATTTTATTATATGAGTTACACGAATGTATATTAATTGAAACCCAATATAAATATTTTAATGACACTGAAAGCCAGACGATAAGGCTATAGATAAACAGATTCCGCCACTTATTGCTGATGTTCTATTTAGCAACCAATGTAAGTAGCGTGAAATAAAAAGATTATTTTTTTGTCAACCCGTCGGATACACAACTGCCGCGATAAACAAACCCAACGCTGTCATCGTCAATGATTGGAAGCTGCTAAACTGACAAGTACCTTAGGGTGCTCGCGATAACAGTAATTAATTCAACTTCCGCTTAAAGCGCGGTCAATAGTGTTCAGCGAGGTTTAGGGCACGCGACGACACATGTTGTACAACGGTTTAACAAGGATTCTCGTAGTTCGTCAACGATGTGCGCAGTGCGAGTGGAAACGAGAGGCAAAATCGAGGCCGAATAAGCTACGGAGTGCACAGGATGTCACGCGATTTTACCGCGTTTCCTTTCAGTTACATACTTTGTACTCCTTTTACGAGTTTCAAGACAATCCTTTCATAACTTTCAACATTGAACTACGCATATAAATTTCTTCGTAATTGATCTATACATTAAGAAGATTTTAATTCATAATTTGGCTGAAATTTATGAGGATTAATAAACAGTATAATGTTTCTATCTATTTAAAACTTAATAATCATTTCAAAGATATAAATATAGATAGGAGCATTATATCTTTTTATATGCAAGACTTTCACGTTTATGATAGAATAACTTGTCGACAATTGTAATGAAAAAAATGTAATCCGACATAATCACAGAATCAATGGAAAACAGTAGATAAAAGTACGAGATACTTTATGTATATACAACTGAAACATTGTTTGAAATATGTATTTACAGTTAATTAAAACTCCACAGACGACGTGATAGGTGCGAACATTGCCTCTGTCCACTGTATTAAGGAGAGTGAAATAAATCGAACTATCTTATGCACACGAAAAGAAACCTACCAGGTTTCTATTGAACATATCGATCATTACATTTTCTTTTACGACAGCAAGAAACAATTTAACGAATTTAGTTTAATGAATATCTGTTAGAAGAAAAACACTAAAACGAAACGGCGACAGAAAACTAATATAAGAAATTTGCGCTAGTTTTTTTCAGCCTGTAACTGTTTTACATTAACTTGGTTTACGGAAAACATGTTTTACATGTTTTACTTTTTCGCTAACAAAGTTATTGCACTTTATAATTATAGTAGTGAATGAATAAAAACACAGCGTTTTTTTGGAGATGCAATATTTTAAAATATACCTCAAGATTTAATAATGATATTGAGAAAAGTCGAAACGTTCTTTATATATTAATTGATAATAATCTAAACTCTTGTTTAATTACTCCCCCCCCCTTTTTTTTTCTTGATTAGTACTGTTATAGAATTGACAAGATTCGTTGGATGACAAGTGCCACGAATGTTACGACGCGACATCATTTTTTTCTCTGCATGCTTTGAGTAAAAAATATTTACCACATGTGCTAATAAGACATACATATCTAAACCAATGTACCTAAATTTTCTAGTAATACAAGAAATTTATACCAATTTCCGAGGTATTTCTGGAAAAAAAACTATGCAATTGTGACTCACCTTCGGCTTCTCCCGCTTTCTCCTGATGATGAGACCGTCGTTCTCTATGTAATCCGGCACGTCCTTTCGGTTGCTGAAGTTGAACACCATCGTGTTGTTCTGCTGGTTCCACGGCTTCGTATCCCAGAGACCGCCGCCGCCTCCACCGCCTGACGCACTCGTCTTCTTCGTCGGTTGTATCTCGTCGGCGCTTTTCAAACTCACTACCACCTTGGTCGGTTGCTCGATGCTCTTCACTCGGTTGATTAAATTTTTCTCGAGCTCGCGATTGCTCAGATTCTGTTGCAAATGCTGCGTTTTTGTGGAGACGAGCGGTCGTATGATGCCGATCTGCTTTTGCGGCGGCGAAATTTCGCTCTTCTGGCACCTCACCGTCTTCGTTTCGTTGTTGCCGCTCTGATACGACGTCGTCGTTGCGGGCTTGATCAGTCCTAAGCTGCAGATAGCGCCGATAGGCTTGTTCTCCACGACGATCAGCTTTTCCTCGACGCTCTCTTTGACATCGAGTTTCTGTTCCTTCTCGGGATCGAGCCTCTCCTGCAGTCTCGCCTCCGAAATCGCTACGATGTTCGCGGGTGCGCTCGATGGAATTGCCTTGCCTCTCGACTCCGTCCTCGCGCAATGCTCGTCCTCCGGAACTCGCTTCTCAGCCGCGTTCTGCTCGTTCTGCTTCGCACCCGGTAAGTAACTTTTGTCGCTCGTAGACTTGTCACCGAAGTTGAATTGTAACGTTATGCCGGCCTTGCCGATGTTGTCCAGAGCGGTCTTGGAAATAATTTTCGATCCGTCCACGACTTCCTTATCAACGTCCTCTCCTTCAGCGTCAGGCACGACATGGCTTGGTTTGGTGTCTTCTTTTCGCTCTGTGTTGACGAACGCTTCTGACAATTGTGACTGTCGAGAGTGCTCGACGCTCGTTCTCGGAGACTCCTCGATTTGTGAACAAGCGACTTTCGACGATTCCGATTCCGTCTTCGAAGACTCCCTAACGGGACTCGGCAGCGGCGGTTTGTGAAGCGGGCTTGTGATCTGTATCCGTATCGGATCTTTGACGGGAGAAAGACTCTGCCTGATATCCTTGCTCGGCGACGGTGGACTCTGCAGTTTGGGCGACGCGATCTTTGGCGAGAGCACCGGCGTGACCGGCGGCGACTTGACGGCGATCTCCAGAGCGGTGGATTTCAACTTGCACGTCTGCGGCGGCTCGGGACTGTTCGCCGGAGAGAACTTCAGCTTGTAGCTCGAGGGCTCCGGCGACGGCGAGGGTGAATGCGACTTCTCGATCTGTTGGAACTTGCTCACCACCGAAGACACGGACTGCACGATCGGTTCCGTGATCACGCCGTCGATGTGATACTCCTCCTTGCCGTCTTGTTTCTCGATCAGCTCCGCCGTTGGCTTGTGCGGCAATACGATCTTCTTCGGAGAGCCGATGACTGCGGCGCGAGCACCGCCGTTGAGGAAGGGCTTCGGTTGCAACGGCGGTTTCGGCATCAGCTTTTTATGCGTTTGCGCCTTAAATGTGTCGTTGATGGTCTTGAAAGTGGCGACCTTCGCGGCAACTTCGCCCTTGGGTTTCAGTTTTCTCGCCGAGCCTTCGAAGATCCTCATTGTGGTCTTGACTAGATCTGGAGGCGGTCGCTCAGTTTCCGCCAGCACCGGCTTGATCCTCTTGGGCTTGTTGATCGGCTTGGGCCGATCGCGCTCGCCTAGGCGACTCTCGATCTTGACGGATGTGCGGTCTACAAGAATGATGTGATCGTTAATCTGCTCCTGGCGCACACCGTTCGTTACCGGACGCGTAATTGAAACCTGACGCACAGTCGTCACGTCGTCTGTCCCTACATTGTTGTACCTCATCAAGGTCTCGACGCTACGCGCCCGCTTCATCGAGTCATTGCCCCGGGCGGCGTTCCGGTACCGATCGGTCTTTGGGGCGATGACGCCGCCGCCGCCGCTGCCGCTTCGTTTCGCGTACTTCCTGCTGGTAGCGGTCTTTTCGTGTCCGGGCGCCTCGTCGTCGTCGCGGTCCAGCAGATCCTCCAAGCTGGCCGCGCGCCGGAACCGTTGCACCGACGCGCGGCTCTTGTTCGTTTCGCGTAGAGTGAGGTTAAGATACTTGCTTTTCAGCTTGTTCACGATCCCCGGCCCGTACTGGAGCTCCTCGGAGCTGTCGCTCTCCCCATCCTCGTTGGACGTGCGGTTGAGCGGCGCCATGCGCGACAATTCCTTCGACGTCCTGACACTTCTGCCGTGGGAGCTTTTCCCGCGTCCACTTATGACAGCGCGAATCTCGTCGCGCTGCGAGGACGCGCGCTCGTTACTCTCGTTCATCCTCACGGTCGCTCTCGACAGTTTGCCGTCCGGCGTGCTCCTCGGCGTATCCTCGTTCTCGTCACCGACGTACTCCGACAATTTCCGTTCCGACGTGTCCGCGTACTTGGTCGGCGCGCCGTTCACAACATCCTCCGCGTCCGAGCAGAGCGATAAATCCACCTCGAGACGCATGTTGTACGCGACTGACGACGCGAAATCGGCAGTCGTTGCCGCCACCGCAGCAGCGACACCGGTGGTGGCGCCACTCGTCGACGGCCTTCTCGTGGTTGGATACGAAGAGGGAGAGGAGAGCAACACGCCGCTACCGCCAGCACCGCAGACCGCGACGGTCGATGTCGCGGTATCCTCGCTGCTCGTCGTCGTCGAGTGCACCGTGCGAAGAGCTCCGGCGATCGAACAATGCTCTTGAACCGCCGCTGCGCTCTGCTCCACGCCGTTGTCCGACGTCGTCGGCGACGACGACGACGACGTGCCGATCACCGCGCTGCATAGCTTCACGCTCGCGCCGCTGCTCGCGAGCACCTTGCTCTGCTGACGGCGACGTTGTATAAGGTCGCGTTTCCACTGCGGCACGTTGCTGCCGTTTGCTTCGTTGCCGGCGTTCACCGTCGAGTTACTACCGGCGGTAGCCATGTTGGACGCGCGCCGTCAACAGTCCACGTTTATGCTCTCTCTCTCTCTCTCTTCTTCGCTCTCTCTCCCACTTTCTCGTTCCCGGCTTCTTCGCAACACGAGACGACGAGATGCGTGCGTGCGTACGTGCGTGCGTGCGTGCGTGCGTGAGACGTATGCACGCACGCACATACGTCGTTCTACGCGTTCCTTCTGATCGTGCGGCTGCCTCTCTTCATAGTTCTTCCACTTGCAGTTGCCACCGGCGGTGAAACGTACCGGCTGCACACGATCGCTGGAAAATCGATGACCACTGACACGCTGAGCATACGGTCGAGCACGCGCGCACACGCAAGTTCGGGGGCGAAAGAGGTGGACGAAGGCGGAGACGAGAGTACGACGATTGCTGCTCCGCGTGTGTATTCTCTCTCTCTCTCTCTCTCTCTCGGCGATAATCTCTACATGCTTCTAGGCTCCGTCGGTGTTTTCCCTCGCACCGCGAGAGAGAATTCCGTTAGGTCTACGCGAAAATCGATCGCAACTCCATTCTCTCCGTCTCCCTATTCGACTACCGTCGAGAGAGCGCACTCGTGTGTCTCTTGTTACGTTTCACGAGAGCGCACCGCGCGCTCGTTCACCTGCCGCGTTCTCGCGACCGCTCTCCACTCCGCCGAATGATTGACGTAAATCGAAGGCACCTGTGCCGCGGTGCAATGAGCTCTCGTCGCGCGCGCACACACACGTTGCGCGCACGGCACTGTGACAAGCGATCGGCACGACGCGTTGAATTCAACGTTCGCGGATGTGTGCTCGAAGAGTGTTCGATAAATACGCGCGTCGTCGCTCTACCACGCGATGACTGGCGTGTTCGCCTCCTGGAGTGCCAGCCACGACGGCTCCGGCGAGAGCCGGCCCACTCGACGAAATCGAAAGTATCTGGTCTGCCGTTCGCGCGCGCGTGCTCGCTCGCTCGCTCGTTCACTCGCTCCCTCGCTCCCTCGCGTACACAAAACCCCTCGCGAACGAAAGGCGAACGCGCCTGTCTCGCACTACCATCTGCCCCGCAATCCCGCCGCCACCGTCCTGTCGCCGGAGATATGGCTTTTCTCTCTCGCGCGCACAGCAACCCCTCTCGCCCTCCTTACTTATGCCGCCGAATCATCCCCTCCTCTCTTTCGCACACTGCCTGTCTCTTTCTCTCTTTCTCACTCACTCTCTCTTTCTCTCTTTCTCTCTCTCTCTCTCTCTCTCTCTCTCTCTCTCTCTCTCTCTCTCTCTCTCTCTCTCTCTCTCTCTCTCTCTCTCCTTTCCACTTGCTCTCCCGCCGCGTTCGACCACTGTGTGCTCCGTAACGTCGCCTCGCAAACGACGGAGGCGCTTCCATCGAGCACGTAACGCGAGGACAAAATACCGAAACTTGCGATTGCCGCGATTACGTATGTCGTAATTTTTTAAGGGCTGATTTAAGAATTAACGATCGGCGATAGATGCAAACCTGTTTTTGCGATTCAGGAATTCCTTTGCGCTATTTGTATGTAAACAAGATGTTTGTGTCAATGAATGATTGACGAAAATATTGTTAGATAATACAAATCTGTTACATAAATGGGAATAATACTCTTTCGTCGCGTATATACAATTCTCTTAAGCATAAATTGACACTTGGATTCGTGTGTATCGATAACTTTATTTTACGACTAGTTCAATATCGGTGACTCGATATGTGGAACGCGAGACAGTCAAACGGTTTCCCTACATTTACGTATTGAACAAAACCTAGTTATTTTACTGAAATGCATAACTTTTATTCGTATGATGTATTATTTTTTTTATTTTGCTAAATTATTTAAAATAATTACCAAATTCTTGTGTCGATCCTTGCCCTTTGGTCTCATTATGTAGCTAAATTGGTGTACTTTTTGCCTTTTCGATCTGCTTTCTGCGTTCAACGCGGGATAGACTATTATATTCGCGCGTAGGTGTTATTATGCCGTCCCTTCCGTAATTTACATGCGCTCTGCCCTAGACGACTCGCAAAATGGTCTGCTTCCTGCGCTGTCAGCAATCATGACAAAGTTTATCTGCAATAATGCACACGCGGAAACGTTCAATGCACCATGCATTATGCCCCACAAGAATAGGTACACGGCAAGATAGAGATCGTGATATTGTTCTTTCAACTCTCAATAAATTTCGTAGACGAGAGCGCATGCACAATAGCGCTGCTACAATCTTTGGACTCTCATACGAAAACTTGTTTGTATCTTTATTTCTATAACGTTAATATTCAACTCTTTTTTTTTTACAGATATTTACTGCTGCAATGTAAATAATATTTAGATAATGAAACATTTGTGGGGCATAAACTATAAACCCGAAATGAATATAAAGACCAAAGTAAATTGCTACTTTAATGCAATAATTTATTGAAAACGTGAAAAATTTTTCTTTTTTTTTATGGTTTTTTATGCTGGATTTTTATTTATTCTGATATACGATGTGAATAAAAATTACAATTGTTATGGCACATTTGACATTAGTTTGAAAGGAATTCGATATCCTCGAAGGGAAAGTAAATCGACGCGTAGCCTCTGCATATCATGCCTTTCCACGATCGCGTAACAAATCGCGTCAGCTAAAGTACGATGCTTACCAAGATATGCCTGCTGGGCATATCAGACTTAATCGCTATATTATATCTTATTGTTAATAAAAAATGACAAACTTTTTTTGGAGCTAGTTTTTTTGTTAAAAATATTTAGAAGCAGCTATTCCCTTTATTATTTTTTAATTAGTATAATAGTTAAATATTCTGACAAACTTTAAATTAAACTTCTAGGAATTGACGAATAAAGTTTGAATTTCAGTGAACGATGATTCTTTATTACATAATTAAAAAGTTGTTCAAAGCTCCATGAATAATTGTTAAAATTATTGTTCTCGGCTTTTATGGAAATGTAAGGCAGTTTGCTCTGTTCCTTAATTGTTAAATATTTTACTATGTACGCTAAGGTCGCGTTAATTTCTTTTCTTAAGTCAAGTTCCGTAGTTAGTTTGGCAATAATATCTGAGAGCTGTTAGAAAAAGCACATAATTATCGGTAAGAGCAGTGAAAGGTTCATTCTAATGTAATTATCTACGATGATCGTTGGCTAATTACTCCTCTTGCATGATTCGAATGCTCGCGTTCAAACTCACGAGAGACTTTCACGTAATCTTTAGTCATGGTTTCGTTGTGATTACGCAGGAAAATGCAATGGGCGCCGCAATTACACAAATAAGAATACGATTATATGTTCCAGTAGGTAAATTACATTGCGCCAAAAGTGTTAAATAAACATACACCAGGCGTTGTATTTTGTTTAGAAAATTTTGTTAAGAAAACGTTATTGCAACCAACTACCGAATACTACTAAAATATTCACAAACCGTCAATATATGATATATATTGTTAATTGAACCGTTTATTTTAAAAGTAAATTCACTTTTTCTTGTCCACAAAATATTTAAGGATTTGCATTTTACTCCAAAAATACTATATTATCGATTTTTTCGAATTTGAATTTACACCACTTTCAAAATCAACGGCTCAATTATGATAAGTTTTTAATACATTATTTAGGGAAGATCGAGGTATTAAAAAATAAAATTATTTTATGTCGATTTTATGTATATTTTATGAAAAACTCGCATTCCGTGCGTGCATTCTAACTCAACCAGAACGAAAGTATCGATATATGACTGATTTTATATTCGCGGCATATAAAGAAAAGAAAATTCTTTTTCGACTTAGTTATAGTCTACTTAAAAAATTTTACATGTCACAAAATCTCCAACTATTATGTTCCTGATTAGCATAAGTAATACTTCTCATTTAACTGTGTTGTAAAGCACGAGTTTTATGAAGATATTACATAACCAAGCATGTAACTAGAGAATTATTTTCTCGTTAAACTTTCAGAACGTAAATTAATTACACCAAGCGACAATAATATCTTACTTTCCAGTTTAAGACTTTGATATTGTAAGAATTTGTATATTCGAAAAGTGCATTTACAAAGTTGTATCTTTACTCAATAGTCTGACTTCTATTAGAAAGTATCCCCGCTAAGGGTTCGCCTCAAAAACTAGTTATTCTGACGACAAGTTTCCATTTGAAGTAAAACGGTTCCGACGAGCGGTTTGCGCAAACCAATACGTCTAACATGGCGATTCTCGCGCAGGTAATTCCTACGTTTCTTAATGTCGCGATAGAACCGAATCGCAAAATTGGAGCGCGTCATGTCCGGTTTCGATTTGGAATGCGTTCAAAACTCGTAAGAATCCAGCGACTTCGCGTAAATCGCTGTGTCACACAGCTGTTCGCTCTACAAGAGACATGACAGCCGAGATAAACATGGCTGCTGTTCGCGACGTGTACGGAACCAGTTCCAGATTGAAACCGGTTTGGAACTAGTTCCCTTCGGTTTTTCGGCCCCCCGCGAGAGTCGCGCAACCGGCATCCGCAAATGGCACTCCGACCGGATTGTTCGGTGCGATTGCAACGTCGTCGACACACAGATTTCTGCCTAAACGATCATGGCTGATAACAAGGATCAGAGAGGTAAGGAAATTGTTTCCGACTTGCTACGGATTCGATACTTTCGAAAGGTGCACGTGCCACCGCGTTCCACAACTCAGCTTTCGAAAGTGTCACGATTGTAGGCGAATTGTGCGCTTGATTACCGCGGTATCGGCACGTGAAAATTCAAATTATTTTGAATCCGCGACTGTTGATTATCGTATTTAAAATGCTATGAAATATTATATGAAATAATTAAATTATTAGGTTGTGTTTTTCCAATATTATCTTATTATTACAATAAATTTTTATACGACTAAATTGTTTGTCAAACAGTTCTTAAGCTCAATATCTTCTTTTCGTTTAATATTTTTAATTATTGTGACGGTTTTTCGACAGAAGATAACGTTGACGGTCACATGGAAGTTAAGGTGGAGCCGGTGCTTCAATGCTACATCGAAGAAGGACATGAGAATGGTTTTCCGAGTTACGAGAATACCTGTGCAATACCGTCGAGCGTTGACGTGGGCGCATTGAACTTGTGGACTAGCAAGGCCACTACCTGTCTAATCAGTCAGTACAAGAAGTATCGATCGATGGTCGGGCAGTCCACGCAAATCAGAAGTCTTCGGGAGATGTTTGAGATGATATCTCTAAAGATGCAGAACTACGGCTTCTACTTCAGTCCGCAGAAGTGCGAGAATAAATGGCGCGTCTTGGAACGCAAGTATAAGAATCTCGTGTTCCGCGAGCGGCTGAAAAAGCCGGGCAGAATGAGACATTATGGACAATGGGAGCATAAACGCGCCTTGGACGAGATTTTTAACGAGAAGAAGAGACACATGTATTTGGAGGAGAACGATCCGCAACCGACAAGTAAGTCTGCGAAATATTCTTTGATCTTGAAACCCAGTTGCAATCAAGTCAGCGACTCGTCCAGTAATCAGCAACACGAAAATTCTTTGACGTCATGCGCCGTGGCCAGTAAGAAAGATGAAGAACCGTTGGATCACAATCAAACCTTAATGATATTAATTGAGAACTTTATCGAAGAAATGGGGAAAAACTTTGCTCTGGCCGAGAAGAACAAGGAGAGGCGGCACAAAGAGAAAATGGCTCTAAAACAGAAAGAATTGGAGTTAAGGAAACAGTTTCTCAAACTAAAAGAACAAAAGATGGAATTGCAAAAGTGCCAAATGATTGCTGCTGCACAGAATTTACGTTTAAATTTGAAATAATACGCGTCGCCTGATATCGGACGCTTAATATTTATGTATTTTATTTTAATATAATATAAAAGAGATTGTATATTATTTACATACATACACATATGTATATACAATTTTCTGGGTTAGATTTAAGAAAAGCCAAAAAATAAAAAATTTGAAAAAGTACATTTTTTTATCAACAGAACTGTCGATGCAAATTATAGATAACAAATAAATGATAAATTATTTTAAAATTACTGCATTGGCATCCGATGTCCTTCCTAAGCCTTTTTCTCTTTTCAATCCTCTTTGCAGTTCTTCAAGGCATTTGCAAATACGAAAATTGCAAAAATAAAATTTCGAATATTATCGCACGAAATGTAACGTGTTCGACATTCTGCAACGTCCGAAGCAAGTAACGATGGAAAAGAGGAAGCAATTGAAAAGTACAGAATAATTTTTTGCGCGTTAGTCACGGCTATATGCTACGCTTAAATTACTTGAACGTTTTCTATATGCTTTTTTTGCGAAAAATACTATAGATAGTTGCGATTTATGGCATACAGAGCTTGCTATCTCCTGTATTATAATGTGAATATAACATAGATTATAAAAAAACGTAAACAACTCCTAAACGTTGTGCACCAGCCTTGATTAAAACATTTAACATGATACAAAATATTTTATGTATTACATAGTAATATATATGCGTTTCAATATACAAGTTAAAATTAAAGATAAATATCCACGGAATAAAAATGTTACAAAACACGCCGTTTTGTGCGAACACGATTGCCAACACAATTTTGATACAATAAATCTTTAATTATAAATTATTTTAATAGTTATCAATCGTTTAATATAAATTCTGCAAAAATTTGTATATCAGTGATTTGTTGTTAATTTGCGTATTGCGCGAATTTGTGGCAAAAATTATAAGAAATTTAAAAGTTGTAACTGTACCCTCAGATGATACGCGTGCAACATGTATTATCGACGAAATATTATTAAAGTGTGATGTCCCGACAATGGTAAACATTCAAAAAACAGAACATTATTAAAAAGATCTGTACAAGTCCATCCAAAAATCTAAAGAGCAAGATTGAAGTTATAATTATAAGTATTAATTATATATAATTAGTTATAAGGATATTAGTCATAAGAATATTGAATAACTAAACAATGCATTGAACAAATAAGTGACATAAGAATAACATAAGCAAAGGCTGATGAAATAATTTCACGAGAAATTAAGAGGCATCGACGAAAGAAAGTCGGCTTTGTCCAAGAAGTAACCAGACATTAATCTTATCCGCCGACTATCTTCTATAAACAAAAACGAGCTGCATATAAACTTCTAGCCAAACGATACTCCAAGAAGCCGACGTGACAATTAAAAATCTATGCGATACTCTCCAAGGCTTACTCCCCACCACAAGAGGACCAACGTACATCATCGCTCGCCGATCAGTACTCTTCCATCAGTCTCACTGTTAAGTCAGATTGTATTGTATATACTATTCTCTGCATTGTTCAGTTGAAATCTCAGAATTATCCAGTTTGTATTTAGCAGTGTGTAATATCTGCATTATTCATATTATTCATTGTATTTATAAGGCTTTGCTATTAATTAAAAAGAAGGTGAGTAGATTTAATCCACTTTATTATTTTATTCGTTTTCTTTCGCACGATAGATCATTACCTCCTGTATCCCTAGTAAACCCGGTGAATGCAGGGTGACTAAAAAATATAGAGGCATTTCAAATTTCGCGCTAATAGTCGATATTACAGAATTCTCTACACACGTCTAGTGACCAGACGTAACAAAAGTCTTGTCGATTGTTGGTAACATTGCCATAATTTGGCTCACAATCAGATTTAGCCATACAAAATTCGGATCATACAATATAACTATTAAACTTTTCCAAATTTTGGAGTCTAATTCTTAGACAAATTAGGTTAGAATCTAGCTTGTTTGTGGTAAAATTCTCAAATTGTATTTCTTCGGTTACCATCAACATTCACTTTGGCTTACTGCTTCTTACTCTAACCGTAATTCTTGTTGAAAAGCGTTAGTGTACAGTAAATTTTAGAGCTCAAACATAATGAAAAAAAAAGAAATACAAAGTTACATATAAAAAGTTAAAATAAAAATTCAATTTTAATATAAAATGCTATGCTTTTTTAAATTACTTCTTTTCTTCTTCTTTTAGTGATCTCTAATATTATATAAAGTGTTTATAAAATAGTTTTGGTTAAATTAACAACTAATTAACAATAAAAAAGTTTTTATACTCATACATTCTATTCATCTCTTTGTTTATATATTTTATTCATTTTTTTATTGTATTATCACCAGAGAGAAATTAGTTGAAAAAAATCTATTAAATTATAGTTATAAAAAGATTTGTGTTGAAAGAGAAAATTAGCTATAATGAGCTTTAAAAATAGATTTTTATTTGATTAATAGAATTAAACTGTTTAAAGAAAAATGACAGTAACAACAAAAAGTTAATGTCAATTAAAACAAGTGAGTAAACGTGAATTGGTAAGATAGAAAATATTATTTCTAAATGCTTAATTCTGCCAAGAATTTTCAGTATACATCATTATACAATTATTTTCATTATACAATTAGCTAAAAATAATGGTAATATCAAGTTAGTAAGACATTAATATAAGATAATTATAGAGTTAAACGAATAATTCATTATAATGTAAAAATTTTATGCATAAAATATTATTTTATTATTATGTAAACTAAAAATCTTTAATTCACTTAATCTTATAATGTTGTAAACAGAGTCAGATAAGATTCAAATTTCCACAACTCATTACAACTAAATTTCTTTTACAACTATTCGTGTAGCAGACACAAACTTTTTGGAACTGTGATTTAAAATAGTTTTTTTTAAGTAAAAAATTGTACGTGAAGATCGCGCTTTTAATGTGTTTATTTCTATATAGTTAAAGCTTCTTAATAAAATATTTTTAAGATACTATCAGATGTATTTTGCGGCGCGCAAAATGCGCGTGAGAAATGCAGCGAATACGCGCTAACATCGTTTCATTTTTCAGTGGCTGCAAGAGTGGATACTTCATCGTGTCAGATTGCGAGTGTCGCCGCGGATTATTTGCATTATACGTCCCGTACGAGATTCTAACGACTTAATTTATGAAACGCAGCATCAAAAGATTATGCAGGTTTGTGCATGTCACGTCTGCGTACACACTTGTGTTTACTTCGCCGAATAATGATAGGCAAGACATGTTAATATTAAGAACGAGTAGAGAATCATAAAAATACCTACAAAAATGTATCCAAGAACAAACAATTCGAGTGCAGAAAAATATGGTAATCTATAATTAACTGCATCTAACATTGATTATGTGCATATTAAAATATAGCTAATTGTAATATAATTATGTTATGTTATAACATACCAGGTATGCTATATGCAACCTAGTATGCTAAGAGAATTAATACAATGTACAATTGCTGAAATATAAATATTATTATCTTTTTACACATATTATATAAATATAAAGTGTAACAAAGCATAATATTTTATTATTTTGTTAAAAATTAGTTAATTAAACGTTTCGATTACGGGTTCTTGCGAGCTGTCGTGACATCAACAACTGTAACAATGTGTTTATTTTTAATAATTCGATAAAATTAATTGCTTTAACAAAGGATTTATTTTTTTCAATTTGCATTCTCACCCTCTCTCTCTCTCTCTCTCTCTCTCTCTCTTTCCCATTTGCTCTTTGTTATTTTTTGCTATTTAATCCGTAACTTTTTGAGAATTTTTTTAAACCAAAATGTTACGGTTTTTTTTATTTATTGGAGAGCACTATGACAGAAATAACGTGAATAACGTTATGACCGTTCAAATCCTTGCGAGCGTCAAAACATCATGCTCGTTCGGGCTAAGCTTCTGATATGCTCGACAGGGCGACTGCACACGCATACATGACATCCAACGACGACAACGACGACGACAAAGGGTACGTACAATTTTATAAAGCGTCACGAGTGCTTTTCGTGAAAAAATCGGTGGAACCGGTTACACCCGCTCACCTTACGCTCTCGTGCACACGCGCGGCTGGCGTACACAGCCTACTTTACTGTTTACGCGAGAAACACGCGCAGGTGCGTATATATACGTGTGCATATCGTGTGTTCACAATGGCTGAATGGCGCAACATGAATCAATTCATGTATCAGCTGAAGAAATACAGGATACAGACTGACATTTTAAAATTTTGACACGTAAGTCTAAGCGAGTGACATTTTAAAGAGCTTTTGGAATCTCAAATAAACAACATTTTTTTGTCTCATAATTAAAACGTGGAAGAAAAGAATAATTTCAGTCTGAATCAGTATCTAAACTTACTAAAAGTTTATTAGCTGAAGTTTAAATGTAACAATTAATCACTACTAAATCTAATTTTTTTTAAATTTGCTTTGACTTCTTTACAAAATTTGAAATTGACATACATTTTGAGATTCTTTATTTATAGGTATACTGCTTAAAAGAAACTGACACAAAAAGTTGTCACATAGGAATAAGAATTATTTCAAATATAAAATTTACAAGTATAAATTAATAAACTGCACTCTAATACTAAAAATGTAAAAAAAAATTGATCATGTTCTTTCACAAAATCTTAATATAACATTGTTTTTTAGCTTGTTTTAATCAATATGATCTAAATTTGAAAAGAATTGCACTTGATTATATATACATATATAATTAAACTGTGTTTTCACAAATGTGTGTGTTTTTCGTTTAATATGCATTTGATGTATAAGATACAATTGTTAAATAATTTTAATCTGGCATTTCAACATATCTTTTAGATTTTTTTGTAAATTTAATTCAGATTTAAATACAATTCAATGTAAGATTATAAAAATTAACTTATTTCTTGGCGAAATGAGTTTACACGCTCGCTATTTAAATTCGAATTGTCGAGAATTAACTCATCATTTGTACTGTTCGATTGTCAGTGCGTACAAGTTGCAGGGTGCCGACTTGCAGACTACGAGCGTGAGCGCGACGATCAACGGTGTGGAGGCGGTCAGCCA